GAAGTGAACAATAGGCGGCAAATTTTCGATGTACTTCTCAGTGAGCCTGCAAGTAAATTTTGACAATCATAATAATAATTTTCAGAATCAACATGTCACTAAATTTGATTTTAATTATGTGGATAGTTTTATAATTTTGCGTAAAATGTTGATTTCTTAGTCTCACTTATTCCAGTTTTTCTTCTTCGAATTTCAGCGGGTAAAACCCAATACTCGACTTTAACCCGGTATGGCTACAATTTCACTTGATGCATGTGAATGAAAAGAACATGAGAAGCAATGATGACAAACATTGCCCCCCCCCCCGGTCGACGCACCTCCACAGCCGCGGCCGCTCTCCCCTCCCCCCAGCGGCCCTCATACCCCCTTCACCCTGGAGAAGCGGGACCCCTATGACCCCCTTCACCTTGGAGAGGCCATGTTCCCCCTTTGCACACGTATGAACCCAAGAAAATGCACTATCCTGCGAAATCAGGATATTCATGTTCAGTGCGCTAAATGACCACCCTAGACGAAGTTTAAAGCAAATCTATGTTTTCGATCCCATACCGTATAACCACCATAACTCTATGAAAAAGTCGCAATATGCAGAGAGCATGAAATTCGTAATCAGCATGTCGAATAAGACCTCTGGACCGAACTCCAGCCGATCATGATTTTGACTTCCTACCGTACACCTATCGTAACCACAAGGGAGACGTTTTGCGGAAAAAGTGTGATATTTGTAATCACCATGTAAGATAACCCTTATACACGAAGTCTGAGAAATCTCTACGACAAAAAAATTTTGGGGCCCGGATAGCCGAATAGCCAAACTAATGTACTCGTAATCAGCATGCTCGATGACCTCCCTGTGCAAACTCCCAGCCCCGCAGGCCAAACTTTGCAAAAAAAAAATCGATAAAATCGATAAAACTAATGAACGATTTTAAAAACTAATATTGTATTCGTAGTCAGCATGCTCGATGACCTCCCTGTGCAAACTCCCAGCCCCGCAGGTCAAAGCAAAAAATCAATAAAATCGATAAAACTAATGAACGATTTTAAAAACTAATATTGTATTCGTAGTCAGCATGCTCGATTACCCCCCTGTGCCAACTCCCAGCCCCGTAGCTCAAACTTTGCAAAAAATCGATAGAATCGACAATAGTAGCGGATCTAATATATAAAGAAACGTAAGCGCAATTCAAAAATGTGCAAATAACGGGAAACCGCGTGGAGGTCCCGAAGCGAACTGTCTTCCACGCACCTTTAGATTACTGGTTCACTAGTAATTCCAAAAACTAACATTGTATTCGTAATCAGCATGCTCGATTACCCACCCCCCCCCCCCGTGGCAACTCCCAGCTCCGTAGCCAAAACTTTGCAAAAAAATCGATAAAATCGATATCGACTGATGACGAAAAGTGGCCTATGACAACCGCCCGGCCCCGAAATGTATCGCAAAGTTTGGTTCAGATCGGTTCAGAAATGGAATTTTCTATTCGGAACATACGTACGCACATACAGACAGACATACAGACAGACAAACAGACATTCAGCTTTGTATATAAGATGGCTTTACCACATCTTTGTGCGTTATGCACGCTAGGTAACTATTCGTTTCACTCTTATTATTTATGGTGTAGGGGAGTCATCGCCATGCATTCCCCAGAATTGTTCCCATATTGACCATCAACGTGGCTGCCTTTCGGTCGTATTAACACGTTGACTTCGGCAAATTTAAGGCGCTTATTCGAAGTGGACATGTTAGACTGATCGAAAGACAGCTATGTTGATGATTTATTAGGGAACAATTCTGGGGAATCTTATATATAATAGCTGGCTTACCCGGCTCCGCCGTATCCGGACCAAACTTGGCACACATACACTTCGGGCCCCGGCGGGTGTCACAGTCCACTTTTCGTTATCGATCGATGTCGATTTTACCGATTTTTATCGATTTTTTCGCAGAGTTCACCTACAGGGCTAGGAGTTGGCACAGGGGGGAAGTGAGCATGGGGATTCCAAATACAATATTAGTTTTCAGAATTATCGGTTACTTTTGTTGATTTTCTCGATTTTTTGTAAATTTTGACATGCGAGGCTGGGATTTTGCACAGGGGGGTAATCGAGCATGCTGATTACGAACACAATATTAGTTTTCAGGATCGTCCATTACTTTTATCGATTTTATCGATTTTTTTTGTAAAGTTTGACCTGCGGGGCTGGGACTTTGCACAGGGGGTAATCGAGCATGCAGATTACGAATACAATATTAGTTTTCAAGATCGTCCATTACTTTTATCGATTTTATCGATTTTTTGAAAATTTGAGCTAGGGGGCTGGAATTTGGCACAGGGGTGTAATCGAGCATGCTGATCACCCCCCTTGGGGATGATCAGCATGCTCGATTACCCCCCTGTGCCAACTCCCAGCCCCCCTAGCTCAAACTTTGCAAAAAATCGATAAAATCGATAAAAGTAATCGATAATCCCGAAAACCAATATTGTATTCGGAATCCCCATGCTCGATTACCCCCCTGTGCGAACTCCCAGCCCCGTAGCTCAAACTTTGCAAAAAATCGATAAAATCAATAAAAGTAATCGATAATCCTGAAAACCAATATTGTATTCGGAATCCCCATGCTCGATTACCCCCCTGTGCCAACTCCCAGCCCCGTAGCTCAAACTTTGCAAAAAAATCGATAAAATCAATAAAAGTAATCGATAATCCTGAAAACCAATATTGTATTCGGAATCCCCATGCTCGATTACCCCCCTGTGCCAACTCCCAGCCCCGTAGGTGAACTCAGCAAAAAAATCGATAAAAATCGATAAAATCGATATCGATCGATGACGAAAAGTAGCCTATGACACCCGCCGGGGCCCGTTGTGTATGTGTGCCAAGTTTGGTCCGGATCGGTTCAGAAATGGAATTTTCTATTCGGAACATACGTACACACATACATACAGACATACATACATACAAACAGACATTCAGCTTTATATATAAGATTCATTCATTCGATATTTTTGATTTTCCGAATTTATTCGATATTCGTTTACTCGAAATTTTTCCTTTTCGAATTTATTCGATATTCATTCATTCGATGAAAAATTCTCGAATTACCCAAGTATATTGGCGATCTCTTAACTTTTGTTGTCATCATACAAACCTCATCTACAAATAGTGGCTAAAGAATGGCATTAAAGGCAGTGGATTAGCAGAATGGACCCTTCTCGAACTTTGGCGGATTTGGGTAGCAGACCCTCCAGTACGCTGTAGCCCCACTCAATGGAAAGGGGCGGGGCTGGTGGAGTTTTGAAGCGCATTTCGCGCATTTTCAAGACTTAGCGCATGAATTAGCAAGTCGGGCTTGGGCTGCAGTATACTTGGGGGGGGGGTCTACTACCTAAATCCACCAAAATCCGAAAAGGGTCCAATCTGCTGATCCACTGCCTTTGAGAACTTGTACAGGGTGGCTTAAAAGTTGGGCATCACATTTTTCGTTCAATGATTTTTCATAGCAAACAAAATTCTATAAGACTATTTTTGCATGCCAAAAATACAGGCATCTTAGTGTGTTACTCCTGCAAGACTGGATTCCTGCGCATGCATACAGACTTCAGCAGCTTACCTAAAGTTAATGCGTCAAAAATGCCACTTGAAGAATGTACCTATTGCAAATCCTTTAAAATAACCCGATTATCAATCGAATAGATTCTAAGACCTGAGGTTTTGTAGAGCATAGTGCGAGGAATAACACAGTGCTGTAACAGCAAAAATTCCTCCTCTCCAAAATAAGACGGGTACTGTAAATATGGTGTTAACCGAACGCGCCGCAACGCCTCTCAAGAAAAGTAGATGTAGGAGTCCCGTTTGCAACAAAGGACTTCAATACGCGTAATTTTTACTTATCTTAATATAGAGACTGTCCGTAAGCTACGGGCATATTAGTCCCCATCATAAATTATTTCAGAAAAGAAAAGATAAATTACATGTTGTAACGCCCATACTTATCGGCCACCCTGTACTTTCTGTGACAGTAAATAGATGCTTGAAGGCCGTGTCAATAGTGTTCGAATCTTTGCCTCAGCTTTACGGGAGCTCAAAATATCGCACAATTTGGATATATTACAAATTAAAAGTAGGCCAAAAACGAACCTTCTACAACCAACTCGTGCGTCTATACTATACCACAACGCCACAGGTTAAAGCGTTTGACAATTGTGGAAGCTGTTAAGGTAGCCTACGTCGTTTGAATAGTATGCCGAGTGTGCGGGCATTGAACACTTCATCTTCTCATCATTACCTTGTAAATTGCACATTGGGGTCATAGCTAAATGTCTTGATGTTGCGTGTTGAGAGAGTGTCCCAAAAAGATGTGCACATTGTTTGATTGTTAATAACTGTCTTGCTTTCATGTCTTTTACCAAGCTTGAGGTACCGTTCTGTAGAGCGAGGTTCAACTTGGATTTACAGTATAGATCGAATCATCAATCACTCTTCATTACTGTAGGATTACGGAGTGAAGCCTTAGCATACAGCGTCACTACGGGATAGGCCTTTTGATGAAACAATTTCAAAAAATAAATCTTTTTTTGTGTAGCAAGGTTTCCAGGCGTGCTGATTTTACTACCTAACTTTTCATCAGTTCTCCAAGCTTTCTTGATGGCGTATTCATATAGCTGACGAACATTGGAAAAACAGTTGTTACCCTAAATCTGAAATAACTTATGAAGGAAGCACTATACTGAAGTCCCAGTCTCATATTTAGAAACAGCGACTTCGATTAGCCCACTTCAAGTTTCTGGCTCGTTCGGATTTCTTTCCGAGGCAAAATACCGCAAAATACAGCTTTAATGGTGGTACCCGAAGCTCGCAAAATACATGAAAGCAAGCGAGTTATTAACGACTAAACAATGCGCACATCTTTTTGGGACATCCTGTATAATCTTTGGAAGAAGAGATACTAGATTGAGTATCATGGTCGAAATGGAAGCAATACATGTTTACAGATGCTGTCTATTCTTTGTCACCGTACATGCAATCCCAGCCAATTGCACGTCTCAATTCTACAACGATAGCAAAGCAACAAGTTCGTATCTTCGTAGGATGTCTGATAATCAATACTAATGTTCTGCTTCTTGGTGAGGGTTTATGCAGGAAATGATCACTCAATTAGCAGTATGATTAGTGTTTCTCAACTCTCGGCCTACGATGCGAGGCCGCTACGTATTCTACACATTAATGAGTATAGGCGACATAGTGGACGGAGCGTATTTCATCTATCCCAGTGCGATACGAATCGGTGAAATGGCCAAAGGCACATTTTTAGGAGGTGACACAGCGTTGAGTTTGAAAAAAGTCATGAATGATTTCGCATCAGGACTGTCGCTTTGGGAATGCGCAAGTAGATGTTATATAGTATTTCGCATTTTCGGCTCAGAACTTGTTTCGTTGTCTTTACTCGTCATGGCAGCTGAAAAAATATTTGCCGTGTTATCCGGAAGGGCGTACCGGTAGGTCCATCACAGCACTCAAGATTACCTGTTTTGGTGTACCTTTTTGCAGACTTTATGCAACACCTGTGTCTCGATTTGCGACAGCTGCAATCTGTTTACTTGTCTGCTTGATTTCTATACTAACTATGTTTCTCACTTCATATCTTGACAGTCACACTGAACCACAAGACAATAAATATTGTGGGATTTCTGGAAGGTGCAAAGGTAATCACTATGTTGACTGTCTAATACAAAGTATCATTTAGTGTCACTGAGGGATTCGCCAAATTCCATAATTTTTTAAACCTTTCCTGTCAGGTTCGTACATTTAATTTGACATGACTATTTCATTCGCGCGTGTGCATGCCCTACCTCAAGTGTACCAACACTTTTGCACTACCCTATTGAGACAATCAGAATGAAAGTGTTTTTCAAAAGACATAAGGTCAGTTTTCGACAATACTTTGATAGCAACCGTTCCAAATGCTGCTATTGATTTCAATGTTACCCCCGCATAACACCAATACGCACCGCTACGATATCCTGCAATTCTAATTCCAAAAAAAAAAACACTGGTAACATTGGCAACCAGACACTGGCAAGCTGGTAATGCCTGACAGTGGCTGGCGTATGGCGAATGGTGTATGGCGTGTCCCGTGCGCTTGCAGCCTCCAACGAGGTGGATGCGCCACTCGACCTGAATTGCTTTGGCGTTTGTCGTGCTTTCGGTCAAAACAGACTGTAAAAAATGTTTATGCAGGTCAAAGCTTCCACATCCTTAGATAATCAAGCGCCAAAACTTTAAATGTCCTTATTAGACCAAAGTAAAATAAGCAAATCAGAAGAGGTCGATTTGCTAGGATTACGCTCTTAACAAACTTATACACTACGTCCGCGATACTACGCATGATACGGTCATAGATTACGTGAGCGAAAAGTGATAAACGTGACCTAGTCCCGACTTTTGATCCCTAGGCAGGCTGGTTGAGAAAAAAAAACAAATAGCATGTCTCTAAAGCACGTAAGAATGATTGAAGATTGGTTTTACAGTAAAGGCGAAATGAAGAGCAGACGGGGCTGCTTTAACTTGATTTTCTGAGTTAATAGACAACGATGACCAACTTGTCACGAGATATGACATGGAGATTGTCTGCGGGCTTTCAGTGCGATGTCCACGTAAGAGCAGCACCAGAATCAGAAGGAGATAGCTGAGTCCAAAATAAACGGTGCTTGCGTCGTTGGCAACGGCGTAATTTGGAGGAATCACTAACCAGCGCCGGCGCCGGCTACCTTTCCCCACATTTCCACGCTTTCAGAATAGAAACATTGGCTGGCGAGCGTTAATAAAAAGCGTGAGTGTGAATCACACTGCGGTGCGCTACAACACCTCCTTTATATCTGTTTCCATCTGAAATCACCTTTTTTTTTATAGATTGGAGGCTTCTTAGGCTCTGGATTTGCATACATTCTAACAGGACGTCTAGCAAAACAAGCGCAATTGAAGGAAATGAAGTCAATCAAACCGATTCTTGTTGTGAGCTTCGTCTCATGCTCTGTCACATGTTCCGATGATATTGTAAGTTTATTTCTTTGATATCTTACTACTTTAACTTGTCTGTTGACAATTTGAACTATTAAGAATTTATCATAGGAGTGACGGTTTTATGCGCTAGTATCTCGATTTTACGTTCCAGCAAGATTACAGGGACATGAAAGCTTTGGAGAACTTAATATAAATTTTCGTTCTTTTGATAAAACAGTCAAATACTTTGAAAATAATTCAAGCCTTGTCTTCTAGAAAAGTTGAAAACGCCGGTGCCTGTTAAAACTCCTAGGTGACGAACTTTTATCAGAGAGTTATTCGCTTTTGCACGATTTTACTTTACAAGCCATGAAGATTTTTTGTGCATTGGATCAATATGTGCGATCGGAAATTAAATGTTTTTTTATAGTGCTGCCTTTAGATTTACATCCTCAAGAATTTCCTCAAGCTTGATATTACGGAATCTCAACATGACTTTGTGGTTACTTATTCATCAGCTTTATTCCAGGTAACTTTTTTCACAGGTCCTTCACTAGGTGGAGGTATTTTTCAGGTATCAAAATTTGTGCTGTATATTCTGACCGGAGAGGAATTTCGCGATTACTTACTCAAAATGATCAACGACAAGTGCGAACTAGAAATGACAACTGCAGTGACTGTGATGGGAACTACAAGAACACGTTAAAGACAGCAATCAGGAGAAGCATAAAAATCTTGTTTTGAGTATCTTTGACGACGCAAGTTCACATATGACCTTTACAGCTCATTTGCTCATTAACGCTCATTAACGCCTCTAACAAGTTACCACATGCCAGTTGGTGACTAAAGTTCGATACGTATTGATTGAACAAGCAAAAGCAATCAGGTGATCGATAGCTATCTCATGTGCAGTCGCCAACATCAGCAACTGACCGTGATAGTAGCGAAAATTGCCAACCGCTACGAATGGTGACAAGCGGTTTATACTCGTGAAGGAATATAGCGTCCTTCTCAGAGAAGGGAAATTGGTTGAGCGCTTTGATACACTCTAAAGCCTAGAAATGCAAAACTCAGGTCCTGCCGAGTCTTTGCACAAGGGATTTGAGTTGTTGGTCACAATATACTTGTTTTGCCTGAGAAAGCCATTTGGGTTTTACGGTAGGCACATGTTAGTACCGAGCCTTCAAGCATAGCCTTGCATAGAATATTGATAAGTTTATGATGAATATCGTATCCACTCTTTATGCCTTAAATTTGAGATACGGTTTATTCGTGGTTAGGAGTTTTGTCTCAATCTTACAAATGCTTTTCAACATGTGGATATGATAGGGTCAGCATGTCAAACGCCTCTGAAGATCACAGAGAGCGCTAATTTGATTCAACACCGTATATGTAACTACCCTGACCTTGGTAATAGCCCTGACTTCGTTGTACCTCCTACGCGCATTTTAAATGACATTTCGCGTTCATCATTTCAAAAACCCCTTTCATACAGCGCTTTCATCGCAGGACTAACTTTGTGATGTGGCTTTCCCCCTTCTCTTCTCATGCCCGTACATCGTGATCTCTTTTCCTGTATTTTCTAGGCTATTGAAGCTTCATTTGGGCACGTATAGTGTTATGGCAGTTGTCATCTTTCAGTTTGCAATCCAAGGTCTATCATAGCATCTTTGTTTTCACGATTCTGAGTCCTTACGCTCTTTTCTCGTACATGGCTAGTATCAATGCCATATAGTGCCGCTAAAAGGATAGCGGTCCGGTACAGTAGAGATTTGAGCTGCATTGGCCTTTGTTAGTCGCAAGTCGCAAATGTCACAAGTGCCAGTTAAACGCCCTTCATGTCAAACAGGCTCCTGCGTGTAAATTACCAACAAAATCTATGATTCTGCATTTCTGATTGTACGGAGCTAAGATAGGATTTCCATGTTAGGACACTCTATTCCATCTTCGAAAGAAATTGTACTGTAAATCATGTTATATCGTTGTCGTTCAATCATCGATATTCTGAACAGCAGATATATTAACACTATGGGTCTGATTAAACAGGCCACCGTCATCGAATCTACTTTTCTCAATCAACATAATAATCTTATGAATAAAGCTAAAACTTTGCTTATCTGTGTATCTAATCTTGACATATTGTGCTAGGACTGCTCACAAAATGAACGGAGTTTGCTTTAATATCAGCCAACGCTTCAAAGAAGCGGAGTCCCAAATTCCTAATGCAGAATTTCGTCATCAGCCTGGTGTTGTTGGCCGTTCTTCGATGGCGTATGTTGTGAAGGTTGTGACCGTTTCGAGAGCAGTCTGTGTAGCTGTTTTCGTAAATCGCACTTCAACCTTTCCCTTCACATGTGCGCCGCTCTTCAAAACATGTTAATGACAACACACTTAACAGAAGCAGGATGTGCAGATTTATCAATAAGAATGTTTTCGGAGTTTTCTTCGCGATAACATGTGACTCTTGCAATGCTAACGTTTATCTTTCCTTGTGCTCTGGAGATAGGACCTCAGGTTAACTGTGTATCTGCCCCCCCCCCTCCCCCAATGAAGATGAGGTTGTTTGGAGAAATTTCAGAGAAAAAACGATTCCAAACGAACAGCAAAAGCGGGAGAAACTCTTAAAATCGGACAAAAACGCTTCAATAAGTTTAAAATTGTTCGTTCGGCGGCATTTCGAATTGCAGGCTTTCGCTACGACCTTCCATTACATAATAATGGGAAAAAGAGGAAAAGCCATATTCTTCTTTCTTAAAGTTTCAGAAACAACCGTAACACGGAAGTAATTATTGTTAAGAGAAAGAACTAATTACAGCTCAAGTTTTCTTTTTACTCGGTGGAAATGCACGTCAACGCCAATCTAGTTCCCGGTGCGTCCTTCAAATTTTTACCTCCTTCTCGTACTTTCTGTTTCTGGGGACGTTGTCAACTTTGTTCTGCTCATCATTTTGCGCAAGATGCCCAGAAACGTGAGAGAAAAGGTTGCGTAACTCCATTAAAGAGCTATGCACAAAAACGCAGTCTTATAGCTTCATATTAAATACTGGATGCATACTTAGCTTCCACGGCCTTGTCAATACACTATGATAAAACACCATGCCGTGATTCCGTCAACAAACTCCTGCTCCGGTTTCACCTCAACGAGCCAGTACCTTGCCTGAACATGTTTTCGCAATCAGCATTCTCACTTACCCCCTGTGCCAACTCCCAGCCCCATACCTCAAAGTTTGCAAAACAATGTCAAAATCGATAAACTAAGCGATAATTCTAGAATAGCCATGTCCTAATACTGTATTCGTAATCAGCATGCTCACTCCCCCCCCCTTTAGCCGTGTCAACTCACAGCACCGTAGCTCAAACTTTGCGTACAAGTTTTCAATTCTATGTCAAACTGTAACAAAAAGATCAACAGAAAGCGACAGAAAGTACACTAAATAGCTCAATCAATGTATTTTGTGTTTTGTTTCTGGGACTTCAGCCTGACCAGTGCACTTCTGCTGCAAAGACGCAACCGACCCTGTTTGGAGGCTCCCTTACAACAGTCCTAATTATGGGTTTTGATTATCTCTCACAAAGGAGCGCCGAAGGCTCGCAAATTATAATATGCATTGACTTGGTGATTGTTAGTAAACCAGACCTTAGTATTATATTCGTTTGTGCGTGCATTGCATAAATTAATTTGAAATTCTTAGAATTGCATGGTAACTAGAATGTTGGTGTGCTCCGTTATCATAGTTCCGTATCGTGTTGCGGTCGATCTAAAAAATTCTCGTCTTGCAGAAATACCTACTGAACAAATCTTTTTACTTCTTTCATCTTTTTTGTAATTTTATAAGATTCACCAAGAAGTTGGGAACATTTGCTGGCGAGAAGTGGAATTAAAGTTTTTGGTCCTTACCCTTTAAGTGTTTATTTAGCATCCTCACAGTGTATGCTTTAATCTGCTTTTAGGTATCTTCTTCTTTCTCGGCTGATTACGCCCCTATGGTTGTTTCTTCCGAAAATGAGTGTGTCGCACGCAAGTATAACTTTTGGTTGTACTCCACTTCCCTTCAGTGCAAAAGTTCCAACAATGAAGTTGAAGGTAAATTATCCTCTATAGTTTTCACCTAAACCAGCTTACACATAGTATATATTGAAATGGAGGAAGACTCAAATTATGCAGTTAGGCGCAAATCTATCAAAGCTCAGGTGTGCGAGTTTACAGAACTCTTTGGATGCGTTCCGCAAAAAAGTTCAATGTGCTTCGAAGATTATACACACAGTCCTTCTAGTCTGTCTAATAGAGTGTGAACTGAAGCACTCATGTAGAGCAGTGCGCCGGCATCGCTGGAGGTTTTACAAATGCACAGTGCCTGGCCCTCAGTGGTACTTTACTGCACATACTATCCATATTACGAATGCTCAATGTGGAACGTTAATGTTTTTGCGTATTTATGTACAGGAAAATGTTCACTTCACGTTACCTTCGTAAGGTGAATAAAAATAAAGGATAAATAAAAGAATGAAATGAATAAAAGATCTGTTAAAAAGCTAGAGAAGTAACAATGTCGAGACCAAAAGTGTGGGATCTTTTACAAATCAGCTTAAAAGGTTGACCTCAGTTTTTGCAAAAGCTCGAAATATTGAAGCAGTGTTTTTGCAAAGTAGAGCAGAACTTTTTGGTGTTTACACTTTGATCCGTGAATAGAGATACTGAGGATATTCTACAAAGTTTAATGCAATCAATGAAGAGGAGGTCCTGCGTTATCACGTTGTGGTAGTTGCGTCCGCCGGATGCGTCCGCCTATCTCCTTGAAGGCGGCACTTAAAAATTGAGAATATTGCCTGCCTGCCAGTACTCATCGTTTTGTAACAAATTTTGAAGCTAGAGAAGCGCAGCAGTCACTAATTCTAAGTCATTTTGATGGAACAGTCTCTGTAGTTTTTAGACAGTAGTTTTCTGTTTTCCTTCTAATGTATTTTGTTTCTAGACATTGCAGAAATTTTCTGCAAAGTATGTTGTAGACAAAGCTTGCTCTATCGTGCTGCATATTTTCAGAAGTGAATGAATCATCTTGAAGCCACGGATCGAAGATTCTTATGACTCTAGTACGAGTATGTTTTGAAAAATATTAGGTTGGAAACTAAGTTTTGCAACTCACTGAATTACTTTTCTCTCACTCAACATGGCGCACTCAAATTTTGTCACTGTGCTGGTCGTGACGTAAGCTACATGTGCAGCTGCTGTTCTACTAAACTCTGACGTCGCAGTAAGGGTTACGGTAGGTGTACGATGTAAAGGGAAAATTATAAAATTCAACAGATTTCGCTGGAACTTGGCATAGTGGGGTTATTCGACATGCTGATCACGAAAACGATACTGAAGTTGCGTGCTAGGGGTTTTTTGTAAGATTACTGTAGGTGTACGATATGGGGTCTCACCCTAAACAAGGAAAGAGGCGTTGATTCAACAAATGAATATGATATGCGTGTTTACCAGATCAAAAAACCCCAGTATGTAAAGACTCTGGGAATCTTGTGGTTTGGACTCCTTGATCATTTACGGTTGTCCCCAGCAGCCTTGCATACAGCGACGTGTTCGTATTTGTGAGGGCGCCAAATCTCGACTTGCCCCTAAATTTTATTTCTTTCTTGGTGAACCGAATGAGTCAACCTTTAGCTACAATTCGTACACGATTTTGGATCATTGCGCATGGTCTAGGCTGCTAATGGCTTCATTTTGGTTTATAAACCCAAAAATTCTCAAAATTCACTAGTTTTCGAAAAATGCCTAAATTTTTTCTATTTCAAATTCAAAATTTAGACAATTTGTGCGTGCTTGTAGAACACATTACTCTCTACATAATGCCAAAGTTTGAGTGCGCCTTGTCCAGAAAGAGTTGAGTTATGAAGGTAGTTGCAAAACTTAGTTTCCAGCCTAATAGTTATCTTTATCTAAGACCGGATCATAGAAAATTTGCATTAATTACAATTCAACTTGATATATGTGAAACAGAGCGCGATTGCTTGACAAACATTGCTCACTCCTTTTCTCTCAACTGACAACCTTGATTGCAAACAGCGAATATACAAGGAATGTTTATGTGCATATATTACACTAGCTTGCTTACCCGGCTCCGCTCGGCCCTGTCAAAACACTGTAATAAAGGTCCCATCCCTATCCTTGTATAGCTTTTCCCTGTGCTTACCTTCTACACTTCATTTCCGGTTCCCTGTGTTGTTTTCGAAATCAGCATGCTCGATTACCCCCCTTTGCCAACTCCCAGCCCTTTAGCTCAAGCGCAAAAAATCGATAAAATCAATAAAAATAATCGATAATTCTGAAAACTAATATTGTATTCGGAATCGCCATGCTCACTTACCCCCCATCTCCGTGCGAGCTCCCAGTTTTGTAGCTCAAACTTTGCAAAAAATCGATAAAATCGGTATCGATCGATAACGAAAACTAGCCTATGACACGCTCCCTGCCCCGAAGTGTATGTGTGCCAGGTTTGGTCCAAATCGGTTCAGAGTCAAAAATTTCTATTCCGCACATACGTACATACATACATACAGACATACACACTTTCAGCTTTATATATAAGATGATGACCAAGTACGAGCTAAGATTTCTCTGGACCTTTCAATTTTTGACGGAATCAAAGTTTTTAGATTTCCGTTCCACAGAATCTGCAATTTACGATCTGAAAGGACTGCTTGTGGAATATTGCTAAACAGGAATAGTGCTCTTATGCATTTTGTTTGTAGCCACACAGCAGTGTAGCGAAGAAAAGGCTTATTACTCTTGCTCAAATAGTATCTCTTCTTCGAAATCTGTTTAGAGGCAGTGGCTCGGCAAATCTCAACCTAGTCAAATTTGCGCTTACCTGTTCAATGCGCTGATTCCGAAAATCCACTTGAACGCTTGAAAACGCCGAAAACGAGCGTTTTTTAATGCCCTTCCCCTTGGAGTTGGACGAGTGGAGCAAGGCCGATGACGCTGAATCGTGGCAGGACCCAATGGTTATAGCGTTGCGGCGGGCAGCCTCTAATGGTGAGAAGGAAAATTGCCAACTCGTCCAGTTGCGTGTAAGATTGGCCTGCGCGTGTAAGTTTGAGAGCGATTTCCTCGGCAGGGAAAGCATGCTGTGCAACTGGGATTGCACTGTTTTCATACTTGGACGATAAGGAACCTAACGCGTTAAAATCCTGAGTTGTTGCATTTTGCCGATCCACTGCCTTTAAGAAAAAGAATGAAACCTCACAAAGAGGTGTGAGGGAATTTACATACCGCGATAGGCTCGCCGCTACGTAGTTAGCGGAGTTTATGAGAGGTCCATAAACTGACAACAACACTAAATTGCACCCAACACACGCCAAAGACGACCTGACTCTACACACGGTAACTCTGTCATCATCCTACAGCTTATGAAACCGGATTTTCTAACATTCGAATCCAAGGTTCAGTACCAAATTCAGTTTATTTGGGGTAAAAACTTGTGTTGAGGGGTATTCTATCGCGCTGATTCCGAATATGATCGTTCTGCTTAAAACCTGGGATTTTTTCTTTTTGAATTTAAACCTGTTTTCACAACAAAAATTTCAAACATTCTATTTAAGTCTTTACTGTGATGCTATTTTCGACTGAACTTTCATACTTGATTTGTTCGGTGGTTTTTCTGAACAGGCAGATTTTTGTTCGATGTTAAAGTCAATTCCAGATTTTAGAAATTCTTGATGAAGACACGATTTTTGTTTTTCCGTCTGAAGTATTATTGGAGCAACATAGTTCGGTTGCATATGGATTGATTTTATTTTTTATTTTTATTTTATATTTATTTTATTTCATAAATAGACTCGAGTTGCACCAGAACGAGAAAAGAAATAAAAGGGCGATCCAAACAAACAATGAGACCAGCCAGTCCTCAGCCGCAAGAGAAGATAAAAGAACATACGGAATAAAACGGAACACGAAACTCTAGACCCAGTAAAGTTGAACAAAAGTAACTTGATCAAGAACAATCGCATGAATAAGTTCCAAGTTTTCTCTTTTGTTAACCTCGGCATATTTCGATGTGTTAGTAGGTTAGTAGGTTAGTAAGCCGAGCGAGGTTAGTACTTTATTAGTTAGTGGCGGCCTGACGTTTCGACTGGATCGTCTTCTTCAGAGGCCTAAAGTGGTAAGAGATCAATGATTTTATGCCTTACCCCACCAGAAACCTCTTCCATCCCGGCTAGCCTCGACTTCACCCCCGAATGCTACAAACGAAAATACGCAGAAACGTGAAAGACGAACCAACCTCCTCCGCCGCTGCCGCGTAGATGTTGAATGCGGCCGTCCTCGAGTGCCACTAGTACTAATAGTGAAATATGGTCATACCGTGTTGACACTAATCACTAGCGGTATTCTTCAACTCACAAAATTCCAAGAAAGGCATAAAGTCATTCGTGATTGACGCACACTCATTTCGGCTGTTCATGCATGGATTTCTTGCGAAAATCCAGAATGCCTCGAGAGCTTTTCTACTAGCAGTGTCATACTCTGTGCCAGTATAGTACATCTGATTTCGAAGTCCTTACCACAGTGGAATTCAACTCTGTGTTTACCGAGCAGTGTGGTAAGACTTCCCCGTCTCTTGCTGGCAAGATGTTCTTTCATTCTTACCCATAACGGTCTCCCAGTCTCTCCGATATAAGTGGCGCTGCATTCAATACATTTGATCTCATAAATCACACCGGTCTTACCGCAGTCACGAAATTTATGGGATGGACAAACTACACAGTCTTGGATTCTGCAGTAGTCGTCGTAAAGTCTGTTACGTACTAGCCGCTTCCTGATGTTATCACTTGGAATGTCAATCAAAATGACATCGTTTTCGAGGTTCGCGTGTTTAATGCATCGTCGCACTGTAGCACTAGTCGCGTCAGAAACGAAAGGAAGACAAAGAGGTATTTTCTGTTGGTGCTGGTTGCTATTGATGGAAATAGATGGTCTACCACGTCCATTTCGAAACGTGTAGCCATTCATTCGAGCAATATCCAGCGCCCATCTCTGCGACTCCTTCCGTTCTTCTTCTCCTGTGCATACGTTCGTTGCTGTTT